AATGATTTTGAAGCACTAAGACGATGATCTATGAAGACAAAAAGAACCTGAAAAACTTCTGTTCCTTTGTGTGTTGAAAATAAAATCATACCTCCTTTCTTTTCATTTGTTCGTCTAGAACCACCAGGCGATTCACCAAACATCAAAATTCGTTGACAATTAGGTGCTCTATAAAAAATTCAAGTTTATTGTCATATTATTCTATTTATTATTATTAATTACTTGATTGTTGGTGTTGTTCGTTCATGACGTTTTGTATGTGAATTTTCAACATTTTCTTTATTTGGTGTTTTATGATTTCGATTACGTTGTTCATTATGAGATGGTGTTGTTGATTTATTTCCATATGATGATGGTAAATGTGTTTTATTTTGTTGAGATATAAGTAAAAGATCAGCTGGTGGTGGATGTCGATGAACAGCACGTGATCTTGGAGTTAAATCTTGATTTTTTTCACGAAGTAAATTTGCTGGAATAGAACTTGCTTGATGATGATGTACATCAAATGCTCGACAATTCGTCGGTTGTGCACGATTAGACAAAAGACGTATTGGTTTATTGCGTGATTTAAGATCATATAAAATAAAATATGTAGCTGTCATATAATCATATTTTTTCTAAATAAGAGAAATTTTCTGGTTTAAATTTATTTATACAACAAAAAAAAAAAGCCAAGCAATTTAACTTACACAAGATAGTTCTTGAACTATATCATTGACCGTTCGACCATGATAAAGAGCCATTTCACGTATACATGATACATCTAATTTATTCTAATGTATGAAAATAAATTTGATGAGCAAAAAACAAATAGACAAAGCATTAATTTATATATACTTGATAGATTGATTCCCATTTGACTGGTTCAGGATAAACATTATTAATAACCCAACGATGTCGTAATAGATCATCAATACGAATTCGTTTTGTTGGATCAATTTGAAGCATAAGACGTAATAAAACAATACTTTCTTGTGATAACCATGATGGAATATGATAAACACCATTCTAAATTAACAATATAAGATAGTTCATTTTAAATAAAATTATATTTCAATATTTATAATATTAATATTACTTGAATTTTAGCATACATTGATGCAATATTTTCATCATCAAATGGAAGACTACCACATAAAAGTGCATATAGAAGTACACCAAGACTCCATACATCTGCCTAAATAAAGAAACATAATGAACATCTTTTTTTTTTCGAAAGCGTTTGAATAAATATGTTTTGCGTGCTAATAAGAATAGTTCAGAAGCGTTTAAGCAAAAATTTGATTTACACAAAAACTCACATCAAAATATGTTACTTTATCGGCTATTGAAACTAAAGCTGAAAGAATAAATTTTAATAACATATATATTTACAATGCTTTTTAATTCTAATGCGGATTTTATAATGAAACTTCTCAAAAAAATAATAAAGTTTTTCCTTACCACATCGCCCCGATAATTTGTACCGGCAATAATTTCCTACGAAAATAAAATACAAATATATAAATTTTAGAATTTTTTCGTTTTTCTACCGGCGCAGCATAAGCTGGACTACCACAAGCTGTACCCAAATATGCTAAATTAATACCACTTTTTGGTTGAGCACACAAACCAAAATCGATTAATTTTAAATTTTCTCGACGATCAAGTAAAAGATTTTCCTAGAATAATGAAAAAACAAATGAAATCATTTGTGTTTTTTTTCTTCATCAAAATTAAATACATACTGGTTTAAGATCACGATGACAATAACCTTTTTTATGCATATAAGCTACAGCTGATACAATTTGACGAAAAAAATGTCGAGCTTGTTCTTCCGATAAACGATTTCGATTAACAATATAATCAAATAATTCACCATTACAAAAATACTAAATTAATATTCATACGTAAGAAACACTTCTACAATCAAAATAATAAAATACCTCAAGAACAAGAAAATAATATTCATCTGTTTCAATAACTTGATAAAGTTGACATATATGTTGATGACGTAGATCTTTCATAGCTTTTATTTCAAGTGCAATACGAGCTACATCACTCTATAAATAAAACCAATAAAATACAAAATTAAAAATGAAGTTTAAAAGTACGTACACCTAATTTAGCTTTATCAATTATTTTAATAGCGACATGTTCACCAGTTAGAAGATGTATGGCTTGTTTTACTTTGCCAAAACCACCATTGCCAATTGTTTTTTGTAATTCATAATATCCAGATAATATTGGATAAGCAACGTGTGGCATAATGTAACAACAAGATTTGATCTACAAAGACAACCAAATTACATACAAATTATTTCCATTGACAAACTATATGTTGGTACTTTTCTCTAAATAATAAAGTTATTATTATTAGCATCTTGTTATGAAAAATATGATCTTATATTAAAATAACATATGAATAATGACACATATTTATCCTACTAGATTTAAGAAATACTTCTCTGAATCAATACTCATTATGTGTCTATTACAAATAAAGAAAAAGAAATAAAATGAAAGTAACTATTATTGTTCTTGGTCATGCATGTTAATATATTCGCCGTAAGACCACCTATGGATTTAAACGACTTCATGACTTTTGTGAATGTTATATTAAAAGACAGGAAAAAAAATTGGTATTTCAAGTTGATAAAACGGAAACTAAAAATTGGTATATTTCAATTTCATTGCTTTGAAAAGTGAGATTTTAATAAAGCAAAGGCAATGAATTTGATTTTTAATCAAAATCATGGTATTAAATTGATGAAAATGTTCATTTCATCATTTTAATACAATGCTTTTTGATTTTTTATATCTCTGAATATGAAATTCGTTTAATTATAACTCCTAACTTAATACGTCCAAAAACGAGCAAATTAAAAGAAAATATGTACAAGAAACAATATTTAAAAGCTAAAACAGAACAAAAGAGAAATTTCAATGATAAATCTAATAAGAATAAAAGAAAAAAGGATACTTTGTAGCTCCATACGGAATTAGAATACATAAAAAAGAGAAAGACAAGCAACTTTTCAATATAATGCCGTAACAAATGATCAAAATCCTCTTTCTACTTTAAAGAGTACAATCATGGTACTTCATTTTTTCAGTAAAGTGTAAAATACAGTCATTTTTCAAAACCATAAATACCTTGGGTACTTTGCTTTTGCTAGTAGTATTTTCTATTGAAAACACTGGACTAACAACAACGCTTCTTTTGATAAATGGGTTGACTGATGTGCTGTGCTTGTTATTTCTTTCTTTACGATCTATTATGTATGATCCAATCGTAAACTCGATGTGTAGTTTATGTAATTGTCTTTCTACGACATCTGCTGGAAATCATTAAAAAATATTTAAATTTTATTTTTATTTTAAATTCTATTGACTATTTGATAAATATTCAAAAGTAATATCTTCTTTTTTTTTTGTAAAACAAATATTTGAAAGAAAATATATTCTTTTTTAAAAATGAAAATCTCACGAATTGAACTCTATAATAACCTATCCCAGTATCAATACTAATAACAATTTTTGAATGAATATTAAGGTCACGTACATCAGGATAATTTATTGTTAATCGACGAAATAAATATCATTTCAATTGCATTTTCCACTAAAGTAGTATAACTTATAACTTTCATGCGTTTTATACAATATAAGCTATATCTGCTGTTCTCAAAAGTAATATTGTCTAAATTTCCGCTCTTTTCAAGGAAAACCATAAAGCTCTAGGTAAAGGAAGAATATCACATCGTCTATGAAAGCTATTGATGTCTTATAATATATCCCTATTTGATCAAATTCTTTGTTATAGGTAAAAATTAGAAACTTCTTATGATGTAATGCTGACATGAAATCTCTATTCTGTAACGTCTTTCATTAATTTTTTACGTATTGTTACTAAAATTATTCCAAGTGATGATACGTAGAGATTTAATAAGACTACAAAGACAATGTTCGTCAAAGTCTACTTCGATTCTCATTTCTAGTCTATTAAATATTTTTTTCTTGACGGTTCTATGACAAATATAAAGCAATTTATTACTATTAGTAATTTTCATTCATGTTAATATTTATGCTCCTAATTGTCTTTGTTTGGTGTATAACTCTTTAGACTTGATCTGACAGTTGCACTATTTTCTTAACCAACAGCAAGCGAGAAGAAATATTTCTCTGCGATATACTTACTGTTTTAATAGTATTTATATTAAAATCGTATCGTAAAAAATAGATACGTTTATTTTTAAGATTGATTGAATCATATCAACTGACAAAAACTGTTCTTGTCCAATAAAATGATATGGAAAACATTTTATGAATATGATTGCGACAACAGTGGATTTTCAGTGCCAATGGATATGTTCAGTGAAAAAAAAACTAAGCTTCGCATTCATCATTAGAACAAACCAAAAATAACAAAGAGATGTAACATGTTATCAGTGTGAAATTCAAGTGACTCGATAAAAAAAAACAATAGAGTAAATCTCTCAATGCTTTATGGTTTAGAGTATCGAAATTGGGCTTGTTAATCATAAAGACGTAAAAACTACACATACTTATGTATGATAAAATACCTTGATACATGTATATTTGTAAAAAAAAAAACCGCTGAGTCTTATTCAGAAAGATAAGTTTCATTCTATTGCTTATTTACAAATTTCGGAACGATTACTCACTGCTAAGGCGCCACGTATCGGGTATTTTCTATAGTAAATAATGATTCATTCATCTACTCTGTAACCTTCTCTATATTCTCTTGTTCCTTCCACTGGTTTTATTTATAACAAGACGTAAAAGTTCTTCTTGTCCAAATAATGTTTGTTTTACTGTTAAAGAACAAAAATAAATAATCTTTCCTTTTTTGTCGTCATTTGTTACACAAGTATTATTGTATACTGTATGTCACATAATCAAAAGTTGATATGACTTGTTGTTGGTTACCTAAATATTATATTATATGATCACATATTTTTTTCTCCTATTTTTTGTTAGATTAAATCTATCTTTTAATAATGGGTTTACTAACAAAAGGACGTCCGTTGACTTGGGAAGAAACAAAAAAGTATGCGCATCATGTACGTGAACATGGCATCGAACAATTTATTCATGTTTATAAAGAACTCAAAGATCGTCGAAATGATTGTCTTAAATGGGGAGATGAGGTATGACAAAAAAAAACTTTGAAATATTCCTGAATAAAAGAATAAATAATATTCTTATAATGAACAAAACAAATATGTCAGGTCGAATTCATGATGGTTCGTTTCGATCATGAAAAGAAGAAAGTACATTTAGTTCTCAAAGCTCATGAAATTTTACCTATTCTTAACGAACCTGAAAACCAAGATCCCAAGTAATTTAGATAATAAATAAAAAATAATTATTGTTTGTTTTCATCCAAATGTTTAGTGATTGTAAAACACTTTGGCGACCAGAGTATGCAGTTAGTATTATGAAACAAATAAAATCGAAAATTTTCTTTTATAAATGTCATTATAGGATTACATGATTGAAGGAACGCCGGGTAAACCTTATGGATATCTACCAGTACATTTCAATATGGTAGAAGCTAATATGCGTTTACGGTAATTTTTTATAATTATTATACTAAAAAAAAAAGAAAAGCACTAAAACATTGTGACCACTTTTTTTTGTCTTAAGTCGACAGCAAGGTCAAGAATTACTCGGTGAAGATGAATATGTATTGAGCACTTCAAACTTTCCACGGTATAAAAAATTTCTTAAAAAAAAAAAAAAACTAATGATTTATTTTTTTCTTTATTTTAGAAATGGCTGTCCCGATTGCACTTGGCCTACATATAAACCAGAAATAAATACATCATCATCGGGTTCACTATTTTTTCCCGATCAACTCATATTTCCTAATCATCCACGATTTAAGTAATGACAAAAATATTAATTAATATAATTATGAATTTTTGTTTTGTTCTTAGAACATTAACACGAAATATACGTTTACGACGTAATGCTAAAGTTGCTTTTAATATTCCAAGTATAAATAAGACGAAATATTATATATTATATATTCAATTATTATAGTTTTTATTGACACGAATACTCCTCGACCATTTGTCGAAGATTTTTCAATTTATGGTAATGATGCTGGTGTGAATGAAACTGCTGCTATTGAAGATCATATTTATCTTGATGCGATTGGCTTAGGTATAGGTTGTTGCTGTTTACAAGTTACTTTTCAAGCACAATCAATCGATGAAGCACAATTTCTTTACGATCAACTAACACCAATGACTCCAATTATGGTAAAATTATTAATTTGTCTTAATTGTTGCTTTTTTGTTCGATTAAATTCCTATTCTTCTTTTTTTCTTGTTCATTTCATATCATTTTAGTTAGCATTAAGTGCATCATCACCAATTTGGCGTGGATATTTGGCTGAAATTGATTGTCGATGGAATGTATTATGTGCAATGTGCGATGATCGAACAGCAGAAGAACAAGGATTTCAAGTAAGTCTAAGTTCATTTTCAAATCATTTATAAAAAAAATAACTCAAGTTTTCGGATTATAAAAACTCATCCAGAAATTCTATTATTTATTTAACAGAAGAGAAATAAAAAAAGAACATTATTATGTATTTTTAGCCATTAAAAAACGAACGTTTTCGTATTTCTAAGTCTCGTTATTCAAGTGTTGATTGTTATATATCACCTGACAGTGCTGTATATAATGATATTGATGTTGTTCAAGATAAAGATATCTTTCATAAACTCATCGAAAATGGTGCATAAGTTTTCGAAAAATTTATCTTCATATTAATGTCGTCTTCTTCTTTAATAGGCATTGATCATTTATTAGCTCAACATTTAGCACATTTATTTATTCGTGATCCATTGATTTTATACGAAGAAATGCTTCATATTGATGATACAAAAGATACCGATCATTTTGAAGTAAACAGAAAAACACTTTACTAATGTATCTTTATATCTGTTAGCGTCCAAACTGAGATTATGTCAAAATTCGAATTAGTCTGCAGATCGATGTAGTATTCAGATGCCTATTGATAAAATGAAATAAAGTAATGATATTTCAATTAATAAAATCATCAATAGACGAATTCAGTTAAGATCGGAATAGTTCTTATGTATAAAACTATTCAGGGTTTCACGAATGTAAACTTAACTGGTCAACGAATGATCGTATTAATTGAGAAGCCATTGCTTCTTCTCACCTCATCAATAAGAATCCGAATACGATTTTGATTTACATTCTAATTCGAATTTTAACATAAATTTACCCTCGATCCAATATTGAACGTGTCCAATATTGAATCTGATATTTGCTTAGGCTAATTTGACCTTGAACATAATATCAGCTTGAAAACTAACATATATATTGATTGATTTTTTTTTATCTTCAGAATATCAATTCAACAAATTGGCAATCAATGAGATTTAAACTACCACCAGCCAATAGTGATATTGGTTGGCGAGTAGAATTTCGACCAACCGAAGTAAAAAATATTCTTTTTCTTATTGAAATAAATGACTTTTTCTTTTAATCTAGTTACAAATGACTGATTTTGAGAATGCTGCATTAGTGACATTTATTGCTTTATTAACACGTGCCATATTAACATATAATTTAAATTTACTTATTCCAATTTCTAATGTAAGATGAAAACACAAATGTAGTAAATTATATTGTGATAATTTTTATTGATATAAATATATATATATATATATACATATAGGTTGATGAAAATATGCAAGTTGCACAACAACGTGATGCACTTCGACATCAAAAATTTCATTTTCGAAAATGTCTTTCGACAAGTATAAAATTTTGTTGATTTTGTTTGAAGAACTTATTTTTATTTTTGTATTTAGAACAAACACCTGATACACCATTTTTTATTTCTATTCAAAAAAATAAATCTCAAGAAATTGAACATGATAAAAATGAATGCGAACATTGTCTTATGACAATCGATGAAATTATTAATGGATCAGTAAATTTTTTTTTTATTGTCTTTTTCCTCTTTAAATTGTATATTCATTGTTATTTTAGAATAAATTTATTGGTCTTTTAAATATTATTCAAGATTATTTATCTAATATTGATGTAGATGCTGATACACAAGATACTATTAATCAATATTTGAATTTAATCAGTAGACGAGCTGCTGGTAAGTGTAAAGAGAAAAAAAGAAACAAAAAAATGTTGAATTTTATTATTTGAAGGTACATTAATGACTAATGCTACATGGATGCGTCATTTTGTAGCAAATCATCCAGCATATAAACATGATTCAGTTGTTACTGATGAAATAGCTTATGATCTTTTGTGGAAAATGAAAAAAATAGCAAACGATGAAGATGATTGTCCTGAAGTAGTACGAAGAAAATTATCGAAAACAACACTTGATATAACAGCAGCTGTTGAAAAAGAAAAAAATGAATTAGAAATAAAACAATCATTAATTCATCATAATCAATAACAATAATCATCATGAAAGTACAATGTATATAAGATATATTTTCATTTAAACATGCATGTATAGTTGTTAAGATAATTGTTATCCAAGGTTTATCTTTATTCAAACGACACAGTACGATTGAAAACAATTTTCTCTACTAGTTTCACTATTTGAATTTTTTCTAACGTTTCAAATTGTAGAAACATATTGAAAATAAAGCTTGTTTTTAACAATTCTAGTAGCCACTATATTTATTTTTGTTCGATATTTTTTTTCTTGTAAAAACTTTTCTTACTATTTTTGAACATATAATCTTCAACAACTTATTTATTTATACTTGCGTAATTTATGTTATAAAAATCAATCTGAAGAGTAAGTCTTCTCTTTTTTTTTTTGCATTATAAACATAGAATAATAATCAAGTTATGTATCAAAGAATAAATCATACGTGTAAATCTATAAGCACACTAACGTTAGGCACAACACTTGACTGATTGTGAAAGAGTCTTACGAAAAGAATCTGTCAATACTGTCGATTATCTGTCTTTTGTCAAGTTGAATATAAAAAGTATGCTAATAAATTACAGTGTAATTGACGATTGATGCATTTCGTTCTTGTTCTGTTTCTAATAAATAATCGAATATATGATTTATTGTTTTTTTCTTCTTTCTTGGTAAAGCAGTCATATGATGGATTTAACTGATGTAAAAATAAGAAACAATTTTCACTATTATGCTACAAAGACATATTCATCTATATGCGTATCCGAATCTTTCATTTATCGAACCAAATAAATTTTGAGAATGTGTTGGAAGAGGTCGAATATATGTATTATGTTGTTTTTTTAGTATTGATGTTCCTTTTTTTTGTGTTTTTATAGAATATACTTGAGAGATGGAAGGAAGAGAAATCAAGAGTATTTTTAATTTTAAAAAAGTTCTTGTCTCGTGGAGAAATACACGATTGACCATGTCTGTTCTACTTTCTTCCACTTAACTCCGAAAAAGTTAATGTGGTGGTAACATTACGTATGCAAATAAAAAGAAGAATATTTTTGTAATAATAATAAAAGAACAGAAGAAAATAAAGACGTCTCGCCCGTTGAAAGTTCTTAAATCGACATCTACTATAAACAAGCATGGCTTGCATGATGATTTTTCGCAAATAAAAGGAAAAGTATAAAAACAAAATTTTGTTCTCTCAAATGATGCTATTCATATAAATACGTATTATAGCAAAGAAAAGTAAAAATAATCATATTGTCTAAGTATTGTAGTTCGATAACAGATATTCATTAATCAATGGTTTCCAATGTCGAATCCTTTACATGTTTGTGGCTCGATAAGTATGTCAATACGACAGAAGACAATATCGATACTCAAGAAGAACTTCGTCAAATAATAAATGATCTTCGAACATTTGATAATAGTGATGCATGTGAACAATATATTCGACAGGTTACTCAAGAAAAGATTGTTCTTATTGTATCAGGTGGATTAGGTCGACAAATAGTACCTCGACTTCATGATCTTTCACAATTTTCTTCATGTTATGTTTTTTGTCAAGATAAAAAAGCAAATGAAGAATGGGCGAAGAAATATGACAAAGTAAAATCTTGTATCCGACTTTAAATAGTTTAATTTAATTTTGTCTTGAATAGATCAATGGCGTTTTTGTACAACGCAATCATCTTATTACTCAAATCACTGAAGATCAAATTAATCGAACAAAAACTGAAGATGGCGCTTCAGTTTCTGTCATCAGTTCTAAATCTCCAAATCTTCAAGCTCGTAATGCTACTTTTATGTGGTTTCAATTGTTCATTGAAGTTCTTCTTCGTATGCATCATAAATCAAGTGATCGTAAAGAACTTATTGATATTTGTAAAAAATCCTATACTGGTAATCATAAACAAATGGAAATTATTAATGAATTTGAACAGAAGTACAATGCAGAAAAAGCAATTTGGTGGTATACACGTGATTCATGTTTTTATCGGATGATGAACAAAGCATTACGTGTTCAAAAGTATGATACATTATTTGCTTTTAGATTTTTTATTACTGATATTGCAAAGCAACTAAAACATGAATATGAAAATTTCATTCGTACAAATGTCAATCGAAGTATAATTCGAGTTTATCGTGGACAATTAATAAGTATTGAAGAACTTGAATTAATGAAAAATAATATTGGTGAATTTCTGTCTATGAATTCTTTTCTATCAACAAGTCGTAATCGATCAACTGCACTTGAATTTACTCGAATTTCTCGTAGACGAGATAATATGCGAGCAATACTTTTTGAAATTGAAATTGATCCTCGATTACGTACAAAAGCTTTTGCCGCTGTCGATCAAATAAGTTATTTTGAACAGGAAAATGAAATATTAATTATGCTTGGGGCATTATTTTGCATTCGAAAAGTAATTGAAGATGAACAGGATAATATATGGGTAGTTCATGTATCACTAGCAAGTGAAGATGATTATCATTTGAAAGAAATATTTAGTCATATGAAAGGCAAGATTGGTGATGATACGAATTTGGATTCTCTTGGCAAACTTTTACTTCGAATGGATGAAAATGAACAAGCACGAAAATGTTATAGACGAATGTTAGAAGAAACTCAACTTGCTGTTGGTGATGCTCAATTAGGTCTTGGATGGGCATCTCTTCGATGCAAGAATTATGATGAAAGTCTTGAACATTTTGAAGAATCTTTACTGATACGACAACGTATTTTAGGAGAAAATCATCCGAGTGTTGGAGAGAGTTACAGTTTTCTTGGTGAAGTTTATCGAATTGAACATAAATATGAAAAAGCTTTGATTGATTTAACGAAAGCAATGAAAATTCAAGAAAATTCACTTCCTGCTGATTCTCTTGATCTTGCTGCAACTTATGATACCATAGCTAATACATATATTTCTCTCGAAAAATATGATATTGCATTAGAATATTTTAACAAAACTCTCAAAATTCGACAAGCAAAATTACCATCTGATCATCCACAAATTGCTGCAATATACAATAATATTGGTTGGTTGTATGAATGTGAAGAAAATTATACAAAAGCATTGGATTGTTATCAGAAAGCACTTGAAATCAGTCGTAAAACTTTACCACCAACACACCATCATGTTACTGGAACAGAAAAAAGTATTCGAACACTAAAGAAAAAAATGAAACAATATAATTAATATTCAATGAATAAAAAGAATGTCACTTTCACATTCGTTGAACTTGGTATTAAACGTCGGTATGCGTTTGTTCGATATTTATTTGCCATTGTTTTATTTTATTTATATTAACTCTTGAGTAATAAAATCGGACAGTATATATAGTTAAGAAAATATTCGTGAATAGTTTTATTGTAATTTACATCACTCACGTATTTCATTAATAATTATTTCTAAGAAAAATGCAAAACGAAATTATGATTGATCAATTATCAAACGAGATGTTTCTTTTTAAATCACTGTAGCTATTAAAACGAACATTTTCTCATATTGTTCATTATTATGTTGGAATATCTCGATAAGCTGGTCATATTGAAAAAAAAAGATCTTCATCTCTCATCATTTAATTCGAGCATTGAAGCTTTTAAGATATAAATGGTCTTTTATTAGGTAACATACACGAATGAACTTCTTTGACAAAAATTTCTCAGTCATAGTATTAGTCACGTTTATAGTGGATAACAGTTTTCATTTTTCTTTTTTTGATATTTAGAAGCAATGGACAAAGATAATCGATTGTATAAAATGTTGTTTGTTCATTGTATTTTATATTCATCCCTATTTGTGACGAATAGCTTAAATTGTTCTTTATGATTATTCTGTTTTATGGACATTACAATTTTATATTCTAAGCACAAAATAATCATCTTATAAATTGAATCATATAGGCTTCTTTTATTTTGATTAATTTTTTAGAAAATATGTTATTTACTATGTCAACAGATTTCTATATTTTTTCTGCAATCCAGTAGAGATGTTGTACTCATATTTTGACGACTCATTTTTTATAATGATACTACTTCTACTAGTCATGATGATAACAGTAAATGCTCACAATCTTTCAATACCTATGTGTTCTTACTTGAAATACACGATTGAGACTAGTGTAAAGAGTGTTTGTGAATTTCTTTTCTACTTATATAAACCAAGCAAGTCAAAACCTGCAATTGATGAGAAAAAACTTGAAGCAATAATGAACTCTTAGCTAAACATACTTTATAGTCTTATGTTTATCGAGAGGTTAACGATTCGATAATTCATATCGATTCTTTTGTCTATGGCATGGATTCTAGAGCGGAACAGATCCTGGCAGATCTTTACCACTCTGAAAATTTTTCATTTTCTTATTTCTCTTGTCCAATTTCGACACTTCATTTATAACTCTTGTTTTCTTATATTCATATAAGAGCTAATTAAACAAAAAAAAAAGATTTGCACAAACATACTCAAAACTTTTAGTTTATTAGTTTCTATTATAAATTACAGACGATAACGTATGAAAATCTTCAATCATCAAAAAGAATTAGTGTGAATACAATAGTGTTCTCAACACATATAAGTATAAAATGAAACTTTATCAAATATATGAATAATACCGATTTGGAGAATTGTTCTGTACTGGAGTGATAAACAACTCAAAGACATGAGCAGTTTTTTTTTCATAACAATAAATATCCATGTATAACTCAGAAGGTTGGAGTAGTGGATAGCAAATCAGAATGAGGTTGAACATCTTTAAAAGATTCGGCAGCATATCAAAACCTATCTCAGAAAAATCCATTTATTTTCTAAAAGAATACAAATGAATCCAAATCAAAATGGATTCTTTAATTCATAAGCATTGATTTTCTATACATTGAATGTCTGGTACGTGATACAAATATGCGTCGCTTATAATCAACTGATTATGCAATTGGAGGCTAAAGCACATTAATCCTTTTTTCAACATGAAATGATAAAGTATAACACAAAATAAAATTTCTCATGTTTTGTTTTCAAGAGATTTTTGAATATTATTGAAATAAATTTTCTTCTTTTTAGATTCTACTGCCCTCTCGAAAAGAAAAAAAATGTTCATTCAATTAAATTTTGAACGAAATAAAGAAAGAAAAACGTGACAAGATGTAGGGATATATATATACAAGCATATAGCTTGTATTCGTTAAATTTAAATTTAATCTATCTACTTGAACAGTTAAATTTGATCATGTCAATGTCAACTTTTGATTCCCGTGAATGGTGTAAATTCTTTCCAGCAGATATTACTACGGAATCAGATTCAGCTTTATTTATTCATCGTCTTTTTACTGTCACTTTATCGGCATTAACGGCTAAACGACATATTTTTTCAAATGATCATTTTTCATCAAAAAAACTTGGTCCACTATTTGTTCCACTATTTACTCGACCAACATCAGTAGTTGAACAAAAACGATTTAATTCAACAGTTTTTTCATGGGTATTCAAAATATTATTATCGAAATTTTTTCTTTAGATTGTTTTTTTTTTTAATTTTCAGATTCAAGGTGTATCTCAAGCTATTTCTAACGGTTATTTAAAATTAGCTACATTTTTTATTATCTCAAAATTAGATGATTCAGTGCTTGAAATATATGAATATTATTTTGCTTATAATAGTAGTGGAATTGATGATCATAACGAAAGTTTTTTAAGTACAACATCAATTGATGATATTCAACAACAAGTATTAAAAGCATTAGAACAAATTAATCAATTTGTTGATGAACGTCTCAAACCAATTGTTAATCGATCAAATTATCGTTTTTGTCTTAAAATTCAATATAATACATCAATAACACCTAATGATTATCAACCAACAGGTTTTGTTGATTCACATGAAATTATTTCACCAATTAATTGGAAAAAAATATTAACAACAAAAATAACAAGTTCAAGAAGAATTTTAGCTCAAATTAAAACATCACATCATAAAATGTTATTAGTCTTTCGAACACCAACTATGAATTCAACCATGAAAAAATAATTGTAAATTTTTTGTTTATGTATTGTAGCATTTCTTTAGAAACTAGGTTGCAAAGAAAATATTAATAAATTATATAGGATCTTACAGATAGAAAGAAACAATTTTTCTATTTAATTTGAATATATCGGACGAGTCAACATGATTACAACATCGAATATTTCGCAAATCTCACAACAAATAAATTCAATAACGTCAAATTTTTTCAAAACTTATGTTGTTCAACTGCACGCACTCTTTAAATAAAAAGAGCCGATAACTTTGAAAACAACTCAAATGAATTTTTTTGGCATATTTCATTTATTTAATTCTTCAAATCTTCTCCTGTTTTTTTGATCTTTTGATAATCATTAGGAGCTTTGGCCAGTCTATCGAGCATTAATCAAGGGGATCATTTGATGATCGCAATCAATCTATTCTTTTTCTTATATCAATCGACTTCTTGCATTGAGCTGAAGTTATGAAAAAAGTTTTAAACTCCGACAAAGTAGTTAGATAGAGTTATAGGTGTTGAAAAATAAGGAATTCTAAGGAAATGCGGAAGTAATTGGCCTTTTTCAAGAAAAACACAATGCATTGCTTTCTTATCACCTCGTTCAGATCTACCATGTTAGTAAGTTTTTTGTTTTTTGTTCAAAGAAAGAGAAACTTCTTCAAACATAAATATGAGACCAAAATGTTATGGCCAAACGGAAAAAAAACAAGAGTTAGCCAAAAAAGAACTCCTCATTAGGTACGACCCAAAGCGTGAAAAAATGTTTAAACTATAAAGGTAAAACTGAATAATATTAGTACTTTCATAAACATATTTGACAAAGTTCGGTATAATGCATCACATTGTTCTTCTGTATGTTTTATGACATAGAAAGCTTCGGTGCAGTGTATGCAAGAAGTGTCGGCCTTGATCGTAAAGTGGGTAATCTCTCATAACATAAGCTAGAATGGCTTTGTTGATATAGCGACCAGAACAGAAGCGATGGTTTACAGAAGAGCTATCGATACTGTACAATAAATAACTATTTTCTTATTATTTATCTCTAAAAGAACCATCTTTTATTTCATTTAGAGTGCAGATTACACTGTATCAATCGCAAGGCCCTTTATCTGAGTGACTTTAACAAAAGTCAATTCGCCGAATATTAATATTTATTTCTTTACTAATTTTAGACACTGATAGGATAAATTCAGCTGGTTTCAAATAACCACCGTTGTCGGGCCCTATATAATATCGTTTCAGTTTCCGATCTTTTTCTTTCATACGTAATAAAACGTCATCGATTATTGCTGTAACAAAAGTAGCATCTTGTGTACATCGTTCGAAATTGTGCACAAAATTTTTTTAGACATTTTTGCAGTCTATCTGTAATTTCTTGTTCTTATACAACAATTGACTAAATTTTCTCTCAAGTTTAAGTATCCTTTTTTATTATTAAATTTCAAAAATCGTTCATCCCTATTCCGAGCGAGAGAGAGAGAGATGTGTGCTTTTTTTTCCGAAAGAAAACAAAATTTTTTATTTATTTGAAGAGCTTTATTTGAGTGGATTGACCTTAATGGTCGTGACCACTTAAAAAGAATTTTAGCATAATGATCAGCACAATTGAAAAAAAGGGGGTACGAGTTGGACACATAAGTGAGGCGGGATTTAGTATAAGGCCACAAAGAAAAAAAATCACATATATATATACAGAGAAGACAAGAAAGAAAGGTGAGACGAGAGGAAAAAAAGGACAATCTTGGACGTGCTCGCCTAGTCGACTCTCCCTAAAAAAATTCCTCGAGAAATCCTTGTCGGGAATCCTCGGAGAGTTAAGAGAGGATTCAGAGACTTTCTGGGGACTTTCTAGGGGCTCCCTGGGGAGTTGATAAGAAGTTACAAGTGAGTCTCCTGAAGACTTCAAGTCCATGGAGATTTGAGAGGGGCTCCCTAAAAACTGGGGACTCCCCGGGGATTTCACAAGGGAGAGCTGACTAGGGTATCCTTATACATATGTAACATTATTCTCAACACAGTGGACAGTGAGTACATCTTCATTTTTATCCGACTGTGCAGTTTATAAGAAGTATAGACGAGTAAGAATTCTTGATTCTTACTATAGAGAAGAAGAGAAGAGAGAAAGAAGGCAAGAAGAAAAAAAGATTGATCCAGATATGTACTAGAATATACATATACAAATAAAGACGAACGTACACATAAAGTTAAGAAAGAAAAAATAAAATTTCTGTTAGAGCACTCGCTAACAGACATACTTATTAGAAGTATCGTTGTCAGAAAGTGTTGTCACTGAAGTTTTATTGTTGTTTTGTTTTTCATAACAACATTAATATACCAACCTAAACCGTTCTTTCCAAAAAAAAAAATATTTTCGTACTTCGCAAAGCTCAGTGAGTATGGACTTCGTAACTCATAATCATAATAGAGTTAGAAACTGTCAGACTGCAATGATAAAAGAATTTCATCATAATATTTTTTCTGATGCATAGTTCGAAGCTGATGAGCTTTCAAAGTATCGATGTTTTGTTTGAATAATTTGAATGAGATATTGTTTGTTTGCAGTATTTATCATAAATTGAGTCTTTAAAAAAATGCTTCTATTTCTAAAAATGTATTCTTCAATAAAAAGCAATCTTCGCACTGATCGTTGTGATCATAATCGCGCATGACATGAAAAGATTTATCTTTTGTGTCAGACAGCGTGTATACAGAGCAATGGTCTGCTTGAGAATGTTCTGAGATTGGTAATCCTGTATTCATAATCATTTGAATAATCCTATGAACAGCCTCATCCGCATCAGCACTATAGTAATCAATGCTCCTAAATAATCGTCTAGTTCTAGCTTTCCAGATGTCACGAATTTTGAACTAATTACTCATTGTTAATGATTGAAAATTCATGCATGCTTCACTACAGTAATGATAATATTGTTGTATAATGCGTGAAGGATTCTGACTTTTGATTGTATCTGGAGTACATAGTTCTGTGCAATCAGCCAATTTTATCGTCTTCCCACATAATGATAAATCGGTACAAACTGATGAATATTTTGTAAAATACATAAAATGTTCAGTCTGTGTATCATCAAAAAAAGTCGAATTGCAGAGACTTTTGGCTCAAGTATTACTCTAGTATTCATCAGAGCATCATGGGATTGTGCCAACATGAAACGATACATAGTGAGACTAAGACTGAAAGAACAAATCATTTTATGGAAAATTTTTGACGTCATCATACTTAAAATGGCTCTTCGTGTTGGCCAATCGTCAACATTGTTATTTGCTAATGCTAATCCACGCATTACTTTTATCATATTCCCATCTAAAAGTAAAGTATATTTTGATCTACCTTTGTGCCAAAGATCTTCGTCCACATTGCATTGTTCGATGCTAGCAATGATTTTCTTACTCAAGCTCTATATTTACAGTCACAGTTTTCCAAATAATTTCTTCAGATAATGTCGTTTTTCTTCAATTCACTCTTTATTTATTATCTTGTTTGAATTGAGAAAAACAGTGTTGACAATTCGACGGAAAAGTTACAATCAGCAGCCTTGTCACTTTCATTTACATCCTCTTTTCTTTACGATTAATTTATTCAACTAAATTGATTTTTCTGCTAGAGATTATTTTTCTCTATCAATAATAATTCATGATTTTCCTCATTAGTTGAATATTATATCGCCTTGACTGTCTGACACTACACTTCTCAAAAACTCTATATGCTTTTTCATGCATCATATTTTTGCAATGATCGACTCCGTTATGTGTGAAACTTTTTTTCATAACAGGCTGACAAATCATACGCTTTCTGATAGTACCTAGATTCTTTGCTTTACACCGATGTTTTTAGTAATTTTCATATATACGACTATCCAATTGTAGAAAATAATCGTTAGTTCAAATATTCTTACAAGTGATAACAAAAACAAAATAAAAAAGTAACAACAGCACTTTTTACGACACAACAGGCGCTAGCTTGAACTGTAATCACCACAGAAGAAAATGAATATATCATGATCATTGTTCAAATGATCTGTCATGAACTGTATCTCGATTTTTATCTTTCTCTTCACCCAATATTGATCTCTTACATATTAGAAATGAACTCAATAAGAAATTAAACCAAACTTTCACGTCATAAAAAGTTATCGAGTTTTTCAAGACTTCAGATGACTTTAGCACAATCGATGTAGTTTATAAAATCCTTGTAGTACATCGCCGTCAAACTTTCCTTACTTACAATTTTGTTTCCAAAAACATTATCTCTGACTTACTTTCGGAAAAAAATTAGGATACGACGTTTCTAGATCAATTTGTCTATGTAGAATTAATCTAGAAACTTTTTCCCCAATAACAAACATAGTCCATGATCTGGTGATAAAAAGTGTGATAATTTCGAGTTCGGTGAAATTCCGAATGATTGGATAAAACTTTCAGAAAAGATCAATTTAGTTTTTCTTACTTCAGGTATCTTTGGTTTACTTTTTGATGAAAAACGGTTCTGGAGATATGCATAAATTTCTGTTGTAGATGGCGCTAGTTTTGAAGATATTTCGAAAACTGCTTGACATCAGAAATCGATTCGATTTTTATTAGAATCAGAAAAAATAAGTTGGTTTTCTATGAAATTTTCATCCAATCATTTTTAGTTACATTAAACTCAAAAATGTCGTTATTTTTCACCTCTGATTATAGACTAACAGTTTGTTTTGCATGCAAGTTGTCTTGTTTCACTGTTTTGCTAGATTTAGAGTAACGATTTTCGTTGTTTGTTTTCCAATATTAGACACCTGGTGCTACTTTCTGCTAAGATCTTTATATCAGTTTTGAAGAGCACAAAGTTCTCTACACGATACACTACATTAAAAGACAGCACTAGTGGTAACCAGAGATGTTGGTCGTTTCTTTTTTTTTGACCCAACCCGTCAACCCGACCCGTTGGGGATCGAACCCGGCCCACTTCACGGGTTGAATGATTTTTTTTCGATCCGTGCCAACCCGTGAC